AAATGTTTCAGATGATTAGCTGTAATGAGTAGAATTATAGCCATCCAGGAGTAAAAAAGCATTCCAATCAATTTTTATTATTTGTACAAATTTCAGTCTAGTTTCCCAATTGTCTTGAAGGTGAAGGTTCAGTTGCCAACATACAACACATCACCATTATTGAAAAGAGTAGGTGGGAGAAGAATATAAATCTAAAGTTGGTAGTTCAGCCAAATGATTGTTGATACATTTGCACTTTTTGCTTGAAAGTTTCTTGCATGTTGCTTATTCACTTCTCTTATTAAAACAGCTCCCACTGCCTGTGATTTGCAATCGATCTGCCCAGTGGAACTTCATCAGCTGATAGCACTTGCTTCCTCTGCGGAGTTTATGTCCTGTAGACATTTACAATGCAGATGTAAATGTCAATGTTTTGATGTTGGTCACGTCCTAGTCCTAAAGTGATTGAAACAGGGTGGAATTTCTTTTGTGTATGCAATCAAGATACCAGACTGGAAATTACAGTCATTTTGCCAATGTATGTACTCAAATTTTCTGACATGCATTCTAAAATCGTGTAACTAAGGAGCAACCTGCACAATCAAATGGAACTTGAAGAAAACACCAGACAGACAACATATATCACCTGTGGGAAAATCTGCAATTCATGCTAATTAGGCACATTGACAGACATATAGTCATAAACGTTTTTAGATTATGTTCCTGATGCATTAATAGAAGCAGATAATACAAGATCGTTCTTAGCAAGGAGAAATAAAATTTACTTCAAGAGCAACAAAACATAAAAAACATGGCTCTTTCCTGCTGCAGTTAAAATTCTGAGCTGAATTTTACGCAATTTTGAATCAACATCCTGCACAGACTTTACCTGAATTTGACCCATTTTGATGAGAGAAAATGCATCCGTGCAAAGATCAATAAATTAGTTTAAACAATGAGGACATTTTTGTCATGTTTATTGATGTTTTTATTTTCAGACATTTCCCCTTGCCGTTGGTTGAAATGTAAAGAAGGTACCCCCCTCCGCCCCCCCTCCCCCTCACAATGAGTATTTCTTGGTAAATAATGAAACAAAAGTCATCTATAACTTTTGTCACATTATGGTAATACATTGCGCAGCACAGCATGCCATCAATTACACTAGGCTGTGCTCTGAATCAATAAAACAGCATTACTAACCTCATCAGTAAAAATCAAAAATGAGTTTAGGATAATTCTCTGCAACCAGCTTGTAAGCATTGCAATGCAGCTGTAAAAGGGGTTGCAATATTCTAATTGGAGATTTGTAAGTTTGACCTTCTCACTGGGCATGTGGGATATACAAAAATCCCTGTAAGTATATATCAATAACACTGCTAAACGTTCACAGAACTTGATCACCATCTTCTGGTAGAAGGGAAGTATTGGGACACTTTGTGAAACAACATGGTGACTTCACTTTCTAATCAGTTACATGTTTTTGCAAGAATTCTATTATCCTGTAATATGTTTTTTATCATTTGCAAATGTTTTTCTTGTTTTCAGTTTAATTACCGATGATAATCTTCATTCCTGTGCGTAATATTTCTTGTCCCTCTTAACCACCCACCATTCTGCCTGGTATGTTCATTCTCTTCCTCGTTTAGTTCTCGTAGTCTCCAGTTCCAACACATACTATTCTCATGTAAAGAACTGTGAACCTCCATGCCTCCCTCAACATATGCTTCCGCCTACAATCTATTCATTTCTCAATCACTAAGCCTTGATCTGCTTGTGTGTTCTCTGCTTGTTTTAAATTCATAGTGGACCTGCGTGCTGGACAAAGCGTTCTTACATTATAAACCTTGGTCTTTCTAACCCTAACATTTTGTAGAGGTTATCACACTTTCCTATCATCCCTGTGGGTCATCAGGGAGATGGGGCAAATAGCCTATCATTTCTCCAGAGATTGTTTTGATTACCAGCAGCCTCAAAGTTACACAATTAAATCGGGGCACCCCCCCACTGAAGTCAGGGGCTGTACATTTAAAATGAAATGTTAACTTGCCAGTGCCCTGGATTCTTTTTTTTAAATGGACTTCAGCCAATTATCCCATGGGTTTCGCTGTTGTTTTTGTATCTAGCTAAATGAGTTCTCTGGTTTGTAGGCCAGTTGGCACTTGAACATTAGTTAATAAAATTCTAGATCCTTTTGAGAACAATGCATATGTTATTCTTTAAAGCGTATCGAGTATCAAAGATCCAGCATCAAGCCACGTGTCAGAAGCCAGTTGCTCACATTCTGCCTGCTTGGAAAATATTTAGAATTGACTTTAAAACATTGTTTAACTATTTATTGAGATAATTTGGAACTCCTAAAAGGAAAATTGCTTCATGGTGGAACTATCTTTTGTGTTGAATCTGTTGCCTGGAATAGAGGCAACTGTTAGGCTGAAAGTGCCTAATGGGTTCTTTAAGGTCTGATCAAAATGAATACAAGAAGACGTGCACTTTAATATAAAGTAAATTAACCCTTAACAATTAACTTTTAATGATCTGGTTTGGAGAGATCATTTTTGAGCTAATACAAATAAGCATATATATGTATATAACATATATAAAAGCCTGTACTGAGGTGATCACAATATGTAAAGGAAGAATGACAAAGGACCAGAGAGAGGAGGAGGAAAAGTACTAGAGATCTGTGGGTGATTTGATCAATGCTGCTGAGGACAGTCTACACTGCCACCTAATACTTTATGAGGTGTTATATCATCTTTGCGCCATTAGCTGAATATAAAAGCATACAAAATAGAAGTTGGGATAGGCCATTCAGTCCATCAAGCTTATTATGCCATTCCATAAGATCATAGCTGAACTCCACTTTACTCCATTTTCCTGTCTGTGCCCTACCATTCCCCCACTCCCATCAACTCCTTTGTCAATCAATAACGTATCCATCTCAGCCTTGAATACATGCAATAACCCAGTCTCCATTGCTGTTTGTGGAAGAGAATTCCAAACATTAACAAACCTCCAAGAGAAGAGCATTTACCCTTGTCAAGAACAGATGATGGCCCAGTGGTACTATCACTGGGCTGTTGATCCTGAGAGCTAGGTAATGTGCTGGGGATCCGGATTTGAATCCCTCCACAGCAGATGGTGGAATTTGAATTCAATAAAAAGTCTAGAATCAAGAGTCTAAATTATCAGGAAAAGCCCACCTGGTTCATTAATATCCTTTAGGGAAGGAAACTATGATCCTTACCTGGTCTGGCCTACATGTGACTCCAGACCCACAGCAACGTAGTTAAATCTTAACAATTATGGATGGGCAATAAATGCTGGTGTAGCTGGTGACGCATTCGTCCTGTGAACGAATTTTTAAAAAATTGTTTCCATAAGGTCACATCTCATTTGTCAAAACGCCAAGGGACATCAGCCAGGTGAACATTCTCTAACCTGCTTTCAATGCAAGTAAAGTGACTATAATTGTGCACAATATTGTAGATGCAGCCTTACCAGGGTACTGTAAAGTTATACTTCCCTCCTATTCCATCCCACTTGCAATAAAGGCCAACATTTTGTCTTCCTGCATTCTTGCTGTACCTGCATGTTAATCTTTTGTGATTCATGTACAAAGATCCCTTTGCAACATGGGCAAACTGCAGTCTTTCTCCAATTAAATAATAATCTGCCTTTCTATTCTTCCTGCCAAATGGATGACATCACATTTTACCTCATTATACTCTATCTTCAAAGTTTTACCCACAGGCTTAATGGATCTACTTCCCTTTGTGAGCTCCTCACAACTTGCTTTCCTACCAATCTTTGTATTGTCACCCAATTTGGCTACAGTGTATTTGATGCCTTCATTCAAGTTCATCCGTTATTGAGGCCAAGTGGGTAGGGATCAGGTAAGTGATACACCATTCAGTGTAGGTCAGGGTGAGCAAGAGAAATCAGGTCTAGGGAGGGTGGGTATAGGGCCTAGGGCAGATTATGGATATGGGGAATAGGAGAGTCAGGTCTAGCTGCAGAAGGGGAGCAGGGGAAATATGGGAGATTGGCGGGGAAGGGGCAGTCGGCATCTTTGTGATCTGGGCCAGAATAAGGTGGGGGGCATTGGGTGTCCAGGGCATATTTGGGTCAGGATCCAATGGGTGTAAGTGATCTGGGAAGGTGTGGTTGGAGGTTTGCGAGCTTAGTATTGGGTCAGTTGAGTAATTTCTCAGGAGTTAGGCTATGTGTTTAATACTGTACCTTTCCTGAGTAACTGTTTACTTAATTTCATCAGAATCCTCCAGTTTAAATGTAGACTTTCAGAGGGTTCCAGGTGGAGAGGAATTGCTGAGCGGAATGTTCAATTTCCGAGGCAGTTCTTTCAGAGCCTGCTCCAGTTGGGGATCCCGCAGAGTCTCCGTGTGCAACTCCCATCTACATTCGAATAATGACCATCCGCACAGCAGATTCTGGACCAGTATGCTCAACTGTAACTGCTAATCTGGGGAAGTGACAGTTCAGCCAACTAGCTAAATCAATGTACAGTTCTTGTAATTTTGTCCTGGTTATGTCATAAAAGCTGTGTGTTTATTCTTTCATGGGAATCAAGAAGCACCTGGACGACTACAAAAAAGGAAGGGTGTATAGCGATATGGATCCTATAGGTGAAGACAGCTTTAGTATGGAAGAGCAAAAAGAGCACAGGCTAGGAGGACCGAAGGGCCTGTTCTGTGCTGTGTTGTCCTTTGTTCTGGAATTTAAAATGGTAGAGAGTGGGTGGCATAAATGGATGAAGAGATGAAGAACCAAACAGGGAGGGGCTGGGAAAGGATTAGGTAAAGTGGTAAGATCGGATAAAATTTAACCATGAGGTAGGTAAGGAAAAAGAAGGGATTTTTAAAAAAGTCTGGTGCTTTTTCATTTGGACATCGATAAGAGATAGGGCATTATCATTGCTTGTGTCTGTAACTCTTTGTCAAGAAGCATTGCTGCTAAAGTTTACACAATTGGTTTCAAATGCATGCCTGTATACTTTTCAGGATTGTAAATACTGGGTCACTGGATTGGTTTTACAACCATGTGAGGTCTCGTTTCAAAAGTTTTGGAAGTGCAAAGGTGATGCAGTCTTTATGCAGAAGACTTCAATCCGGAGAAAAGCACTCCCTACGAAACTTAGGTATGCAATTTCCTTCTTTCCAGTTGTGTTGTTACTGACTTTTTAACCTAAGGTTACACTCTAAGTGCCTGAAAATATGTAATTTCTAATTAAGAGAAGTGGTGATACGTTGAATGCGCCAAGGTTACACAGGAGCTGCTGTGAAGATAAGACACATGCGCGTGAATACACACACACACACACAGACACAGACACTCTGTCCACCCTCTCCCAATCCATCTCCCGTATTAGTTGTACGTGTATTGAGGGAGAGCTTTTCCAAAGGCAGATACAGAGAAGGTAGGCTCAGGAGGGGAGGGGTTGACCCCCTCATGGCAGTCTGATACAGAAGGTAAAGTCGCACGGGGTCGGAGCTGAGCTTACAAGATGGATAAAAAAACTGGCTCGGTCTTAGAAGAGAGAGGGTAGCAGTGGAAGGATGCATTTCTGAATGGAGGGCTGTGACTAGTGGCGTTCCTCAGGGATCAGTGTTGAGACCTTTGCTATTTGTAATATATATAAATAATTTGGAGGAAAATATAACTGGTTTGATTAGTAAGTTTGCGGATGACACAAAGGGTGGTGGAATTGCAGATAGCAATGAGGACCATCAGAGGATACAGCAGAATATAGATCGGTTGGTGACTTGGGCAGAGAGATGGCCGATGGAGTTTAATCTGGAAAAATGTGAGGTAAAGCATTTTGGAAGGTCTAATCCAGGCGGAAAATATACAGTAAATGGCAGAACCCTTTACAGTACTGATAGGCAGAGGGATCTGGGTGTACAGGTACACAGGTCACTGAAAGTGGCAACGCAGCTGGAGAAGGTAGTCAACAAGGCATACGGCATGCTTACCTTCATCGGCCGGGGCACTGAGTTTAAAAATTGCCAGGTAATGTTGCAGCTTTATAGAACCTTAGTCAGGCTGCATTTGGAATACGGTGTTCAATTCTGGTTGCCACACTAACAGAAGGATATGGTGGCTTTAGAGAGGGTACAGAAAAGATTTAACAGAATGTTGCCTGGTATGGAGGGCATTAGCTATGAAGGGAGGTTGGAGAAACTTGGATTGTTCTCACTGGAACAATGGAGGTTGAGGGGCTACCTGATAGAGGTCTGCAAGATTATGAAGGGCATGGACAGAGTGTTAGAGTCAGTTACAAGGGGGCATAAGTTTAAGGTACGAGCGGTAAGGTTTAAAGGTGATATACGAGGCATGTTTTATTACACAGAGAGTGGTGGGTGCATGGTACTCGCTGCTGGGGGAGGTAGTGGAAGCAGGTACAATAGGGACTTTTAAAGGGAGTCTAGACAAATACATGGGAATAGAGGGATACGGTCCCTGGAAGGGTAGGGAGTTTTAGTTGTGATGGGCAGCATGTCAGTGCAGGTTTGGAGGGCCAAAGAGCCTTTTCCTGTGCTGTAATTTTCTTTGTTCTTTGTTTTTTGGGTAGTAGGATGTTATTGGGAAGAGCAATAGAAGGAAGTGAACAAAACAGCCTTACATACGATTGATACAGTGGGACGAGCAAAGCGTCTTGAGCTGAAAAGTTGATCAGGAACATGGGTTGGGGACATTAGAATAGCTGAATTTGGAGCAGAAGTAGGCTGTTTGGAAAGCTTGAGCCTGCTCTTTCATTTGATAAGATCACAACTGATCTTATTGTAGTCTCAACTGTACTTGCTCCTTGCTATCTCCTGTCCCTTATAACTCCCTTGTCAATAAAGAATTTATCTAACTCAGCCTTAAGAAATATTCAATGATTGCCACTATTACTCTGGAAAGAGAATCCCACAGACTATTAACTCTGAGTGAAAATAAATTATCCTCATTTTTGCCCCAAATGGAATCCCCTTATTTTTAAACTATGTCCTCAAGTTCCAGTCTCTCTCATAATGGTAATCATCTTCTCAGCATTCACCATGTCAAGTCACCACTGGATTTTATATACCTCTCATTCTTCTAAACGTAAATGATTACCCAACTTGTTGAACTTCTCTTCATAAGTCCTTTGTCTAAGGAATTAGTCAAGCAAACTTTCTATGGACTGTTTCTACTCATTTACTTTTTTTTCAAATTGGGAATGAAATTGTACTCAGTACTCCAGATGTCCTCTTACCAATGTCCTGTAGTAAAACAACCTATTTTTACATTCTATTCCTCTTAAATAAATGATTGCATTCAATTTGCTTTCTTAATCACTTGCTGTGCCTACTTACTAATGTTTTGTGATTAGGGGTGGCACACAGCACCAGGGACCCAGGTTTGATGCTACCCTCGGGCGAATGTCTGTGTGGAGTTTGCACATTCTCCCCATGCCTGTGTGGGTTTCTGCCGGGTGCTCCGCTTTCCTCCCACAGTCCAAAGATGTTCAGGCTAGGTGGGTAAGCCATGGGAAATACAGGGTTACAGGGATAGAGAAGGAGGGTGGGATGAGGTGGATGTTCTTTAGAGGGTCAATGTGGACTTAATGGGCCTGTAGGGATTCTCTATACACAGTACCAAGTTCTCTCTTTATCACCCTGTTCTGAAATCTATTTTCATTTAACAATATTTTGTTTTTCATTTTTCTTACCAGAGTGGACAAGTTTGTATTTTCCCACATTATACTCAATTGGCAAATTTTTAGCCCACTCACTTAACTTATCCATTTGCAGACTCCTTATGTCCTCTGCTTCACATACTTTCCTATCCATCTTTGTGTCAACAGCAAATTTAACAACCATATACTCATCTCTTCATCCAAGTCATTGACATTGATTATAAATAATGGAGGCCCAAGATATATTCCTGTGCCATTCTGGCAGTTGAATCTTGCCAAGCCGAAAAATTAATATATCTCTACTCTGTACTTCCTGTCAGCAAACCAATCTCTCTTCATTCTAATCTGTTATCCCCAGCACCATGAGCTCGCATTATATGGAGTCAACTTTCATTTTTCATTTTATTAAATTTCACAAATCAAAGTGTACCACATCTGTAAGTCCCCTTTTATCTAGTCTGCTAGTTACTTGCATAAAGAACTTTAGTAAATGAGCTAAACATGACTTCCCTTTCACAAAACCTTGTTAATTTTGCTTGGTTGCATTAAGATTTCTGAAGAGTCCTGTTATAAACTCCTTAGCAATAGCATCGCATTTTCTTGTGACAGATGTTAGATTAACTAGCCTGTCCTGCTCTCCACCTCACTAAGCATCTTTAATAGAAGAGTCACATTTGCCAATTTCCAATCTTTTTGAACCTTTCCAGAATCTGTGGAATTTTGGAACATTGTAACCAATCTATCTACCAGTTCTACAATCCTTCTTTTAAAAGACAACTGGACGAAGTCCACCAGGTCCTGCTGACTTGTCAGCCTTTAGTTCTAATAGTTTTCCCAGTACATTTTCCTTGTGATTGTTTTACGTTTATTGTGCCCTTTAACCTCTTTATTTACATGCATTTGAAGAATGGCTTTCCTGTCTTCTACAGTGAAGACAAGACACAAAATATCTGTTCAACATTTTTGTGGCTGCTGAGGGGATACAGCCACTCCTTCCAGTCCCAGCTGCCCCTTCTCATTGTGACTCCCATCCCTGGACACTGTCCCACCCAGTCCCCTTTCCCCACGAAATTGCTCACCTTGCTCCTAGATTCTCTGGCGTACTAATCTATCCGCAGCTAATGTACCCTCCAATGTAGTGCTAAGGGCAGAAGCTGCTGGCTTCTGTTTGGTTGGAAGCATCTTGTGGGTAGGACTTCCATGCCTGTTGTCCTAATTCCAGCAGAAGACCCTCCAGTGTCCTTGGAACTGCCTCATTGGTGAACAGTCTGGCAAGACTGTCTTAGAAGATGCATGATGAGCATCTGTCCAGCTTTGAAGCCACCAGCAGAAGATTCTGCCCTTGTTATCTAGAGAAGCCATGTTCATTTAGTTATGCTTTTCGTTTTATATCCAGTCACACCATCTGTTTTTATATTTCTTGCTATCTTTTTCTCTTACTTTAATTTCCCCTTTTTTAGTCATTCTTTGCTGATTTTTAAATTCTGCCCAATCTCCTGATCTACCACTAATCTGCGCAAAATTATACATTATATCTTTTATTTCCATATTCACCCACAGATGGTGTATCCTTATAATAGTTTTTCTCATTGGAAAGTATCTTTGCTGAAAGTTATGAAATATCTTGTGATATCTTTGTCACTGCATCTCTGATGTTCTAACCTTTCCTCTAATTTCCCAGCTAGCTGTCTTTATAATCTTTTAATTGCCTTTACTTAGTTTAAAACTTTAGCTTTAGGCCCACTCATCCCCACTTCAAACTAAATGTAAAATTCAATCATATTATAATCACTTCTCCGTAGATACTCCTTTACTAAAGTTAATTAATCATTCCCAACCCTTTGCACACAGCCAGGTCTGGAATAGCCAGCTCTCTTTCTGGTTGTACAATCTGCAACTGTAAGAAATTGACCTAAAAACAGTTTATGAGCTTATCTTCTAGATGATCTTTAATCTGATTTTTCCAGTCTATGTTTAAATTAAAATCACCCATGACTGTTGCCTCACATTTCTTAAAAGCTCCTATTACTTCTCCTGTCTATACCTTCCTACAGAGTGGTCACCGTTAGTCAGCCTACAAACTATTCTTACAAACGACTTCTTAGCTTTGCTATTTTTCATCTCCGCATAAACTGATTCTACATTTTGAGGATTAAAGCTAGGAATATTTCTCACACTCTGGCACTATTTTCATCTTTAATTAACACAACAATCCAACCACCTTTCCCTCACCTCCTTTCCTTCCAAATTACAAATTGCCCTTAATATTTAGCTATTATAATGTACATCAGCTCTTGTCACCTTATGTCACTTTCAGTACATGACATCTCTGTAATTGCACTCGGGTCAGACAAATTTATTTGTGCTGGAGCTGACAGTGCATCTAATTTGTTTTGTTTGCCATGGGCATTCACTCCGATGCGCAATGGCATCTTCCTGACCCATTTACTGGATAGGACACCTGCAGTGAGATCAAAATCCCTCAGCTTCCTCTCGGCTATCCAGCAAACGTGCGCATCAAAGACTGGGAGCAATAGATTGAAGCTGCCACACACATGCAGCAGATACTGACTATTCTTCTGGACCTGCCCTTGGAAGCAGCCATGCAACACACACTGGAGCCACAACATTAGACCGGACTTGGGGGCAGACTCCTGTGCCCTTTGTTGCAGGCTGAGCATGATCTTTGGGGCCTCAGCCAGATACTGCCCGGCCAGCTTACACAGTTCAGTCAAGCCTATTAATGGCACACTCCAAGAGCTCATTGTATGTACTGGGATCAGGAGTTCACCAAGTGTCAGAAACCACAGCTTCCTCCAGTTGCGGCCCTGTGTCAATGTGATGCTCACCAAATTACACCCCAGTGTCATACTCCATACATGGTTTGGGAATGGCATCTGGAAGCTGCGTAGAAAAATCTAAAGATTTGCCAGTGAAGCGAGCCATCACCCTTACTCAAGGTTTTATTCAGATCATGGTTCTTGAGGTGCAGCTAGGAGTAGCAGCTTAGATGCTTGCTGGTTAGAGGATAGTAAATACCTGATCTCCTCTTCATCATCGGCAAGTTCCCTTTCACTACTGCCAGCTCTTCCTGCTGTTGGAAGGGGATGAAAAGCTTTATGTGAGGCATCCCATGTTTGTAGTGGCTGTGCATGTTCTCTTCCTGCAAGAAGAGAGAAGTATTAAGAGGCATTTGCTTTGGTATATGGGTCAAAGAAATACTTTTCAATTGTCGTCTCAGTTGCTGCCAATTTGTGCACAGTAAGTTCCGATAATTAGCAATGTTATAAAATGAGTAAAGAGAAAAGAAGTAAAAAACAATGGAGTAAAGATGTTCAGAGAAATGTACCACTAGACAGGATGTGACGTACACGTTCATGTGATCATCGGGCAGAAAATGGGAGCAGTCCCAGAGATTTGACAATTGATCTGAGTGAAACAGTTTTTGGTCTTTGGAGCATTCCAAGTTGCTGTTTAAATAAGATGAATGTCATAGCGTGATCAAAATACACCAAGAAGCCTGCTACCTCCGAGTTGGCCTCTCACGTTTTCAAGTATGTAGGGACTGGAATGTCATTCCTTCTGCTTTATCAAGCAGCTATCTTATTCTCAGACCTCTTTCAGGCTTTCACTGCGACTCAGCACAGGAGAGGTGGGCTTGCAGTAAAGGATGGAAATGCAGCGATTACACTCACTGAGTCATAGAGTCCTACAGCGCAGAGACACGCCCTTTGGTACAAACTAGTCCATGCCGACCAAAATGTCCATCCACGCTAACCACATTTCCCTGCAAGTCTAAACATTTCCAATCCGTGTATTCGTCTAAATGACTTTTAAATGTTGTTAATGTACCTGCCTCAACCACTTCCACTGGCAGCTCATTCCATATGCGTATCACCCTCTGTGTAAAAAAGTTGCCCCTCAGGTTCCCATGTATCCTTTCTGCTCCTACCTTAAACTGATGCACTCTCATCCTCGATTCCCCAGTCGTGGGAAAAAGACTGAGTGCATTCACCCTATCCATTGCCTCTCATGATCTTATACACTTCTATAAAATTCCCTTAGTCTCCTACGCACTAAAGAAAAAGGTCCTAGCTTGTTCAACCTCTCCCTATAACTCAGTCCTTGAGTCCTGGCAATACCCTTGTAAAAATTCTTCTGCACTCGATCTAGTTTAACAATATCCTTCCTATAACAAGGTGACCAAAACTGAATACAATACTCCAAGTGCTGCCTCACCAATGTCCTGTACGAATGCAACATAACTTCCCAACTTCTAAACTCAATACCCTAACTGGTGAAGGCCGGTGCACCAAAAGCCTTCTTCACTACCCAGTGTACCTGTGACTCCTCTTTCAGAGAACTGTGCACCTGAACTCTAACTACACTCCTTAAAGCCCTACCATTCACCATGAAACTCCTACCTTGGTTTGACTTTCCAAAATGCAACACCTCACACTTATCTATATTAAACTCCATTTGCCATTTCTCGGCCCACTTCTCCAGCTGATCAAAATCCAGCTGCAACTTCTGATCTTCCTGGTCCATGATACCGCCTATTTTAGTGTAATCCGCAAACTTACGAATCATGCCTTGTACATTCTCATCCAAGTCATTGATATGGATAACAAACAACAATGGGCCCAGTACTAACCCCTGAGACACACCACTAATCACAGGCCTCCAGTCTGACAAGCATTCTTCCACTATTACTTTATGCTTCCTACTGTCATGCTAATTGTGTATCCAAATTGCTAGCTCTCCCTGGATTCCATGTGATCTAACCTTCCAGAGCAACCTACCATGTGGAACCTAATCAAAGGCCTTACTGAAATCCACATCGACTACGTGTACCGTCCTGCCCTGATCAACCTTCCCGGTCACTTCTTCGAAGAACTCAAACAAATTTGTAAGGCATGATCTCTCATGCACGAAGCCATGCTGACTACTCCTAATCAAACCCTGTCTCTCCAAAAGCATGTGTATCTTATCCCTCAGAATCTTCCCAAGAAACTTGCCTACCACAGACGTTAGGCTTACTGGTCTGTAATTCCCAGGTTTGTTTTTGCAGCCCTTCTGGAATAAGGTCACAACATTCGCTACCCTCCAGTCTTCTACGACCTCACCTGTGGCTAACAATGATGCAACTATATCAGCCAGGGCCCCCACAATTTGTTCTCCAGCCTCTTGCAGGGTTCTTGGATATATCTGATCAGGATCAGGAAATTTATCCACCTTCACACAGTCTAATACGCCCAACACCTCCTCTACTGTGATGTGGACTGTCCCCAAGATATTGCCACTAACTTCCCCACGTTCCCAAGTTTACATGTCTTTCTCCATGGTAAACCCAGAGGAGAAATATTCATTGAGGACCTTGCCCATCTCCTGTGGTTCTACACATACATGTCCTCTTTGATCCTTGAGGGATCCTATTCTGTCTCTAGTTATTCTGTTTCCTTTAATATACTAAAAGAATCTCTTTGGATTCACGCTAATATTCTCAGCCAAAGTTATCTCATGCCCCCTTTTTGCCCTCCTGATTTCCTTCTTCAGTAAACTCCTGTATCCCCTATATACCTCTGGGGATTCCCTTGATCCCAGCATCCCACCCCCCACCAACACCATCCAAAATAGTATACTTGTTTTCAAGGGAAATGGCAACAGGATATTCCTGCACTGTCTGAGCCATGCCTTCTGTTTTTCTAGTCAAAGCTTCAATATCTCTTGTCATCCATATAGACCTTGAAGTCTAGCTATCACACTTTTAAAGGCCTCCCACTTGCCAAAGGTGCTTTTGCCTGCAAACAAACTATTCCAATCAACCCCTGTAAGCTCCTGGCTAATTCCATCAAAATTCACCTTGTCCCAATTTAGAACTTGAACCTGTAGACCAATTTTGTCCTTCTCCATAACTATTTTAAAATTTAGGAGTTATGGTGACTAGTTCCAAAATGCTCCCCCACTGTCAACTCAGTCATCTGTCCTGCCCTATTTCCCAAGAGTAGGTTGAGTTTTGCCCCTTCCCAAGTAGGACCCTCAGAGACATCCTAGACCCTGGCACCCAGCAAGCAACACACCATCCTGGATTCCCATTTGTGGCCACAGAATCTCCTGTCTTTCCCCCTAACTGTCGAGTCTCCTATCACTGAGGTCCTGTTTACCTTTACCCTTGCCTGCTGTGCCCCAGAGCCAGTCATAGCGCCATCAACCTGGCAACTGCTGTTTTCTCCTTATCGGTCATTTCCCCCCGCCAACCCCCCACCATCCCCCACCCCCACCCCGCCGCCCTCCCCACCACCACCCCCAACCAACACTATCCAAAATAGTGTACCTGTTCTCGAGGGAAATGGCCACAGGGTATTCCTGCACTGTATGCCTACTCCTTTTGCCTTTCCTGGTGGCCACCCAGCTGCTCTCTGCCTGCACCTTAGGTGTGACCGCCTCTCTAAAACTCTTAGGAAGCACAGATCCGTATGGGGTTTCTGGGGTGACACTGGATTTTGTTGGTGAGAGAATGGTCCCAACAATGTAGGGTAGAATTTATCAACCAATTATTAAAAGTTATGATGTCTACCTATTTGAGAAACTGGCCTATATCCTCGGTGCAGATTGTAGGGGTTTTTTCCTTCCACAGGGACAACGTCAGTGATTGGCAAATTATCTTCCAGGCTAATGAACTTATTGATATTATGCGATGCATTTAAGTGTCTGTTATATTCAGGAAAAGCATAAATCCAGTTGATGCTTTATTTTAATATATGCCTGACCTCTTGTAGACACACGCTATGAACGAGATGGATTTGACAATGTATCAGATGGTTTCTTGCATGGTGAGTGAACTTTAGAATCTTTAATTTGTTTTCTATTTTATAGTTACCTTAATGATATCACTTTTGGATGTTAAGTAATAGTAAGAATCTAACTACTTCTTACAAGTGGCTCTCAGCAGACTAGGTGATCTGCCTGCTAAACAAAGTGAAGAGCACACAGTACAGAATGGGTGTCGAGTAGTCCCACTTGGCAATATTCAACTGGGCAGCGTGTCAACCATCTCCTGAGTATGGCTTTCAAGCGAGACGTTGCTTGGGTTTGTGATCCATGGCAAAGGATTAGTGAATGCATTAGACTACATTAAGGGCTCTGAAATGCCAATGACTGCTTCGTACAATATCACTTTGTGTTGGAGATAAAAGAATTGTGATGGAGTTAATGTAATTTTGTCCATGACGTCCTGAGACACACTAACTTCATTTGTAGTAATGTAAAAAAGCATTGCTGACTCAATAGCATTGAGGTGTTGCATTGTGCATTGCTACCAACTTTTACCTTTCTAAATCATGGAACAAGCTCAGTGGACAATGGCGAATGGATACCTGTTGATGCCAACTACATAGTCAGGCCAAAAAAGGTTAATGTGCTGCAGTGTTGATACATCATCGCACAGGTATGGGGACTGCAGTTGCAGAACCTTTAGGTTAGCAATACAATAGGGAAATGGAATGGAGGCTGCAGTGAGGGGAAATTCTACACAAAGGATGATCGACGAAGCATCTGGAACTCCTTTGCTCACCACCATTGCTCCACTACTATTTTCAAATCTCTTAAACAAAATCCTGGAATGTAAGAAGCCAATTTGCTATGACATTCATTTTTTTACTCCAATGTAACAATCCAAGCAGAGATGAATTATTATCCTTGTACGAAAGCAAAGTACTGAGGATGCTGGAAATCTGAAAAAAAATTGCAGGGAATGCTGGAGAAACTCAGCAGGTCTGGCAGTATCTGTGGAGGGAGAAAAACTGCGAATGTTTTGAGTCAAGTATGATTCTTCTTCAGAGCTGAAATTGTTGGAAAACGTTTTAATAACAGACTTTTGACAGGGGTCCAGTGAAAAAGACAAATGGGGTTGTTAATGGTGCAGAAAGAATAAGACGTAATATGGAAGTAAAATAAGGTATGAAAGGAAGAGAATTCGTCCTAAGTGCAAAGTAAACAAAGCATAAACAATATAAGGCTGGGGGCGCAGGATGGGGTAGGGAGGAGATTGTGTAAGAAGAATGGAAAACAGACTTAACGTGGCCAGTTTCTGAAGTTTTTAATTCCGTATTGAGACCTCGAGACTGAAATGGGCCTAAGCAGCAGATGAGGTGTTGTTCCTCGAGCTTGCGTTGTGCTTCATTGGAACCTAGCGGCAGGCCCAGGACAGAAAATATTAGCACGAGAGCAAGGTGGTTTATTGAAATGGCAAGCAGCTGGGTGCTCAGGGTAAGGTGTTCTGCAAAATTGTCACCTAGTCTGCATTTGTTCTCCACGTAAGGGAGATCACATTGTGAGCAGCAAATACAGTAATCTGGATTGAACGAAGCATAAGTGAAATGCTGCTTCACCAGAAAGATGTGTTTGGGGCCTTGCAGTTGCCTGGGAAAGTGCTATAGCAGGATGAGGAAGCATTAGCAGTGAGTGAATAATAGCCGTATTCTATTTCAATTCTGTTATTACCATTGGAATTGTAGGACGTCTCTCTTGCTCTCTCTTTCTTTCTCTCCATCTCCCCACTACCGCCCCCGCCCCTCCCCCTGCCAACTGTGACCAGCTAGTAGCATGATTTGCATTCTACCCTCTCAGGTTATTTGAATGACTATGCACTCAGAGAGTGGGGTATGTGCAATGAGACCTGGGCGTCCTCATCCACCAGTCACTAACGGTAAGCATCCAAATGCAGCAGGTGGTGAAGAAGGCAAATGGTATGCTGGCCTTCACAGCTAGAGGATTTAAGTACAGTAACAGGCATGATTTGCTGCAATTCTACAGGGCCTTGGCGAGACCACATTTGGAATATTACATGCAATTTTGGTCTCCTTAGCTGGGATGGCAGGACTGACATAAGGTGAGACATTGAATTAGTCAGGATTATATTCTCTTGTGTTCAGAAGATTAAGGGAGGTCTCATAGAAACCCATAAGACTCTAACAGGACTAGACAAGGTACTTGAAGGAAGGATGTTCCTGATGGTAGGGGAATCCTGAACCAGGGATCATAGTCTAAGGATACAGGATAAACCATTTAGGACCATACGGAGAAATTTCTTCATCCAGAAAGTGTTAAGTCTGTGAAATTTGTTACTACAGAAAGCAGTCAAGTCCAGAACGTTACATAATTTTGAGAAGGTATTCAGTATAGCATTTGGATCTAAAGGGATCAAAGGGGAAAAGCAGGAACAGGCTATTGAGTTAGATGATCGGTCATGATTATAATGAACAGCAAAACAGGTTTGAAGGGCCAAATGACCTTTTCCTGCTCCTATTTTCTGTGTTTTTCTGAGAGTGAGGTAGGAATCAGAGAATGGTTTATTTCAACCTGAAAAAGGCGTCACATATTGCTCTTTTTTTCCTTACTCAGCTAACTTCCTACCCATGCTGCCATTATCATTTGCATTCAATGGACTTCATTTTTGTCTTGGTGCGCGCCTGTTATGTAGCATTTTATCAAAAACTTTTTGAAAGTCCCTGTACACCACATCAGTCACATTACCCTCATCAAGTGTCTCTGTGACCTGCTCCAAAAACTCAAACCCGATTAGACAAGTATGATTTTCCATTTGCACACCCATGCTGGCTTTCAGTAATCAACCCACATTTTTCCGAGTTGCTCTTAATTTTGTCCCAGATAATCATTTCTAAAAGGTTCCCAACACCAAATGTAAAGTGACATGCCAGCACTTGCTGGATTTACCCTTGCAGTTTTTTTAAAAATGTGAAACATCTGCAATTCCTCAGTCCTCTGACACCACCTCTGTGTCTCAGGAACACAAGAGGCAGAGGGCAGTAGCGTGCTCTGGGCAGAGCCCTACACCATTATGTTGCATCCTGCCTGACGGTACCATGTCCTCCACCAGCCTCAAGTGATAGAGATGTCCTCAGCCCCACCAATTCAGTTTTGCTCCCTTCGATTGTGTGAAACCTTGCTGTATAAGAAAGAAGGCAGTTTTCCAGAGGTTATGTGGCGCTGTGTTCGATGGATAGGCCTGCCCTGAATGAGTAGCTAGAGGAAGCAGTGAGAGGTGGACATGAGACTGTTCATCAATGGAAGGTGCTTGTGGGGAAGTGGAGTATGTAAGTGCTGGGCCTCATTCCTGATTATTCAGAGCTGCTGGTGGTGAGTGATGGAGGTGTGCCACCCTCCGACCTCCTCAGTCTGGTATTATGAAATGAAAAGGCAGCACAAATTTTCTAAATAGGGAGAGAGGGGGAGGCAGATAGAAGATGGATAAAGGAGAAGATAGGTGGAGAGGAGACAGACAGGTCAAAGAGGCGGGGGTGGGGGAAGTAAAGGTGAGTGTAGGTGGGGAGTTAGGGAGGGGATAGGTCAGGTCAAGGGGGCGGGATGAGGTTAGTAGGTAGGAGATGGGGGTGGGGCTTGAGGTGGGAGGAGGGGATAGGTGGGAGGAAGGACAAGTTAGGGAGGCGGGGACAAGCTGGGCTGGTTTTGGGATGCGGTAGGGGGAGTGGAGATTTTGAAGCTTGTGAAGTCCACATTGATACCATTGGGCTGCATTTCAGAACCCCCTTCCCCTCCCCCATTTCTGAAGAAGGGTCTAGGCCCGAAACGTCAGCTTTCCTGCTCCTCTGATGCTGCTTGGCCTGCTGTGTTCATCCAGCTCTACACCTTGTTATCTCAGATTCTCCAGTACCTGCAGTTCCTACTATCTCTGAGACAAATGCCCTGCCCAGTTTCTCACTTCTGATTGTCATACCACAATGTTAAGAGACGATTTACATGATAATAGGATCTGGTCAGTCATGATAGGTCCTCCAGTGATGTAGCCCACCAGCAATAAGCTGTGAAAGTTCACAGAAAGAACGAACATTGGAGTGAAATTACCTGAATTGACGGGCATCTGTCAAACTGTACTCTGTCCTAAGTTAATAACATCAAAAGGGAGAAATGTGTCCCTACCTTTGAAGGGATTAAGTGACATGGTGCATTTGGAGACAGTTCTCAGCTTTCACTGCTCGAATTTAATACTTTTTGTAAAGATTCAGCATTGCAGTCTTGACATAGATTTTTCTCTGGATTTTGCCCTGTGGCATAGTCTGCTCGCAGATTGCTTATCGAGTGGATAATCTCACTTATCTAGGACATAAAGATGGCTTTGCAAAATTAAATGGGACACTGAAAGAGGGTGAGGGATAAAGTGCTTTGTATTATGGAATAAACCAAAGGATGATTTGCAATTGGGTAAAAGGAAGTGAACTCTGTAGTTGCACTTGGGAGTCCCTGACCTCAAGAATGTTGTAAGCTGATGATAGGCAGATGAAATGCTGCCTTTACCTTTACCATATAGTTACTGGCTTTCCAAATAAATACTACCTTGCTGTTCTAACTATTTCACTGTTGTTATAAAATAGTGTGAGAAAATCACAAACCCATTCCATGCAGCTACTCTGTGATCTATCATAGACTTCCATCCTTTATTCCACAAGAAGAGAAAAAAGAAAACTTAGTGGATACTTCTTGTCAATTAAACAATTTCCCAGAGTTACATAAGACCTGTTGCTGTAGTTGCCTATATCCTGTCAACTCCCATGGTTTATTACCTATTGTGCGACTGATTCATTTGTTAAGTGCGAGAGATTTGATTGACCAAATAGCTCCTAAATTTAAACAACATCCCACTGTCAACAACAAGAACAGAAGTTACCTTAATTCCTCACAGTCACTAATTAAGCATGGAGTTGATTAATACCAGTTTACGTCAAGCAGTCAAATTTGCTTCCTGCACCTTAGTGCAAGTGTTAACTTTCTGAATTGATGTGCGTGCTAGGAAAGGATATTGAGGCACTGAACTATAAGTGAAATTGATGTTCTCTACCCTTCCCCTGAAGTGCACAACATTACGTGACCTTCGAACACGCAGCTTTGTAGGACGCTAAGATTTCACAGCCAGGCACCATTCACAACATTAATGATGTGTTTTTCTCTCCTATGTTCCTTTGCTGAAGGTGAATACAATACTCAGATGATGGCGGAAGTAATTGAAGAGGATGAAAATGCTGTAGATAATGAAGAGGCTCACCGCTATAGTGTAGTAATGTCCTTTTTAGATGTTTGGCTTTGAAAATGACAATCACTTGTGGAGTAAGAATTTACTTGAAATGTTGTTTTCAGTTTTGAAAGGACTTCCTTAATCATCATGGTAATTTAAGTATTGCATTTATTGCATGAGATATATGCTGACATTCACCAAACGCGACTGCATTGATAAATATATACTGTGCTACTGAATCAGTTACGCTACTGGAAATGGGACTTAATTGAAGCTAAATGTACATCTGAAAAGATGTCTATACAAAAGGGCTGTTCTGATGCATTGTACTGTCCCTGTCTTTAGGCTAGGAGGTGCATGTTCGAGTCGTACCTGCTGCCAGAGGTGTGTTATAACATTTCTGAACAGGTTGATTAGAAAATATCAACAAAGGACAAATATTGTCAAGGGTTGTGGACGAAATTGTGAAAGTTTACTCGGCACTGCTTTGAACTAAATATTCAATGTTACATTCTACAAATCTTGCAAGCTTTAAAATTTCATAGAATCATGTAGTATAAAAGAGGCTTTTTGACCCATCAAGACTGTAACACCAAAAATATGTTGCTACCTATACTAGTCCCACTTTGCCGCACTGGGCCCACAGCCATAAAAGTTATGACACTTTTTGAGTACTTTTTCGAATACTTTTTAAAGGTTGTGAGGTTTTCCATCTCAGATACCCTCCCAGGCAGTGTATTTCTAAACCCCAACCACCTTTTTCCTCAAGTCCTCTCTAAACCTCCTGCTTTTCACTTTAAAATTATGTCACTTTATTATTGATCCTTCAACTAAGAGCAACAGCTGTTTTCTATTCACAATATTCATGCCCCCCATAATCTTAGACACCTCTAATACGTTCTTCCTCAACCTTCTCTGCTCTAAAGAAAACAACTGGAACTTAACTAGCTTCTCTTCATAATTGACAGCTTCATAGCCTGATAGTTTTAAATCTTACACGACTAGGAAAGTGATAGTGCAAGAATAGAATCTGTGACAATTTCTGTGTCTGGTACAATGTTAATTCCTTTCTCTAATCTTGGCATGTGGTTTCTGTAAATAATGTTATTTCCCCAAGTTTTTATACCTATTTTTGTTAGTAGCAACTTCTGCAAATTTCCGTATCTAGTTTGATAATAAATTCAATTTTCTTTACATTCACTCCTGGTTTGTATTCCCAATCTTATCTTTTGTTTATTAATGATTCTATTTCCTCATTTCTGTATCTGTTTGCTTTCATAAGTCCGTAGGCAGAAAACCATACCCTCCAAGTGGTGAGTTTGGTGGCAGAGTAGCATTTTGTAGGGCACTCCATCAACCACCTTAAATGTTGGTAATGATCATTTATTCAAGTGTTTTGCAAGGAGAACTAGTCTTAGGCAATCAAAGGCAATACTGTACTCTGAAAAGCCAAAAGTGTTCGCTTGTTATGTACAGTTTTAGTCATATACTCATACTATCACTCAATTCTACAACTTATAACTGCAAAAGTAAACAGATATTCCTGGCTGTAGTTTCTTATTCCTGTTGTACATACATCAGATATTGTTCTTTATTCATCCAAGCCCGCTGGTGATTGTGTACTCTAAACTGCATCCTTCTTTGTATTATTCACTCACTGGCTAGGCCATTTGCTCCATATCCAGTCTAGAGTACATTTGTTAGTCTTCTGTGCTGCTCTTTTATATTTAAATGTTATTTTATGAAAAGACACTTCAAACTGAAACATTTTAATTCCTTGAATCTCTACCACCTGCAAGGACAAAGCAAACAGACATGTGGGAACACCATAATCCCCACTGAGCCACACACCATCCTGATTTGGAAATATACCAGCTTTCCTGACTGTTGCTGGGTCAAAATCCTGGAACTCCCTCTCTGACAAGATTGCGGGTATCCCTACACACCGTGGACTGCAGAAGTTCAAGAATGTGGCTCACCGTCTCCTTCTGAAGGGCAATTAGGGATAGGCAGTAAAATGGTGGTCTCATCGGTGATACTCACAATCAGTGACAGTATAAAAAACAAGCAAGGATGTTGATGAGTGGAGACCCTGTTGCCTTTTTGCCTCTACCTGAATGAAGGACCTGGCAAGAAGGCCCATGGACAGCCTACTTGCTCAGTTGCTGATTGGGTACAAATCCATTATTACTGATTTTAACCCAACTACTGATGGGGACAGGGAGTGCAATAAGAAAATCTCATCAAGATTTCTTATTCAGGAGTGGATTTTGTGCTGGGACGTACAGCATTGCAAAATTGTACAATGGCTAAAATTCTGATAAGCACAGACAAATGCAGTGTGTTTGCTGTCCTGATTAGCATTTAGTAACCTCCTCTGGAATGGCCTCACATGGCCATTGTCCATGCCTTTTCTGGTGACCCAAAACACAGTGAGTAACCTGGAATTGTCGAGTTTGCCAGTCTTGGTAGACCATACTTTTGCTTAGTTTCTTCTCACTAGCTGCATTATCTCACAAGAGTTTGCACTGAAATAGGGGGCAGTTGGTTGCCGTTACAAACCTGTGATCCATGCGAAGAAGCAGTAAATACTTTGAAATCACAGAATCGAATAGCACAGAACAAGGCCATATCATACATGTGCCAGCTGCCAATATTCTTCCCACATGGTTCTGTTTTAAAAGACAATTTTTCAAAATAAATGCACAAGGCACAAAAGCTTTCTTTTAATTGAAAAATATTTAACAGTCTTTCTTTTCTATATTCCCCAGTTACGCAGAAACAAACGTCTACTTTCAGTGCATCCTACTGACTTTGATGTGGACTCGGAATATTCTGCACAGTCTCGCCGCCAGTCTTTCCAGCTTCCTTCGCCACATTATGATGGAAGCGGTTTACAGGTAATCCCCTCAGTTCTTCAGCGATATTACAGCCTTTTAATTATCCCATTCCAAAGCTGCTTCAACAGCCAAAATACAGTATATTTGCTGAGCTGTGCAGCTGAGGGAGTTGTGGGCTGCTGCTAATCTTGTGTGGGAGCTCCACAATAAGCCTTGGTATGCTTAGACCAGATTCATAGAATCCTCCCACGCAAAGGAAAGCCATTCGGCCCACTGTGTCTCTGCCAGCTCCATAAAAGGGTTATCCAATTTGTTCCACTCCTCTATTTTCTTTTCCCCTGCATTTTTCGTCTTCTTGTGTTTATGCAGTTGCCTTTTGAAAGCTACCACTGAATCTGCTTCCACCGCTCCTTGAGGCTATGACTTGTAAATTATAACCACTCCCTGCATAAAAATAAAACTTCCCAGCATCCATCTGGTTCTTTTGCCAGCCATCTTAAATCGATGCCCTCTGGTTATAAGCCCTCCTGTTACGGACTAGGGAGAAGAAAATGAGCTGGTTCTTGTTCCGGTTTCCTTTCCCATTCGTTCCACCTGAAAAATTCTCAAACGTTGGATAACATTAGCCGTGACTGTGATTTCAGTCAGCTTCCTGATATCTGGCTGCTGACTTGAAAAGTAAGTCATTCTGCTAAGTTCCAGTATGGCTGACATCTGTGCATCTGAGCCCTGGCATCAGTTAATACCTTCAGCGGAGGAATAGAAAGTGCAGAAAAGCCCTTAAATTAATCTCTAGCTTCACTAAAGTATCTCGAATGTATTTATACTTTCAACCGTGAATATGTGGCTTTTACCTTGGAAATTCCACATGTCTCATATTTTTCACGCTGGTGCAGAAACACATTGACAGTTTCCAAAGAGTTAATTGAGGACTGCCTTAGAGCAACGTGTTGGTGGAATAACTGAGGAAAATTCACTTCCTTTTAAAATGCATGAAAACGTTAGACCAAACATTATGGTAATTCAGACATTCCAAACTACATATTGATTTTCAAAACATTCTAAGAATTCCACGCTTGACTGCACCTACAGTTTTGAAGCCAACACTTAGGCCAAGTTTTTGATGTATTTTTTCCTCTCTTTGGAGAATTTTCTGTTTATCAGTTCAACGTGCAAAAATTACTGAGCACTGGGACATTTTCCCATTTCAGGCATCCTGTTATCAGCTCTGAGGAGTCATAGCTAATTAGAAGTGGTGCCAAGGTCCTACTAGTCTAAGTCAACAAGATGTCTTGAAACGTATAAAGGCCATTCTCACTAAACCAAATGTGAAATTATTCCCTTCCTTCCAGCAGAAAACCCGGAACATTTCGCAAATGTAGTTGCATTTGGTCTTTCCAAAAAAAAGTACCTCCCTTCTACTTGCCCTAGTCCTTTCACACTGAAAGCTTTTATTCATGTTGGTATGATTCCATGTACATTGATTGCCTTCCAGTACCTTTGCTCACCTGACTGCTTTTCATTTGCTGGCCTGGGCAGTGTTTACCTGTGCCTTTTTTCCATGATGGGCAGTGTGGCTGTTAAGTAATCCTTAGTCAGCATCGACACACAGATATTTTTTCAGTGTGGAGTGATGGAGAGAGATCAATAGCGTGGACTTTGGCTGCATTTGTTTCCATTCTCCAGCTCACTGTTCCAGTGGAAAGTTGTAGCCACCTTGACCAAGACCAGGTAAATCCAAAGTGTCTTGGGTTACAGACTTCCTTGTATTACAGTATTGAATCCAGACCACAACATGCCTGTAATTTTTAAATAGTTACATGATATCATGACATGTGACATTCTGCTATAAAAGTATTCTTCTCTCCTTCAGTCACTATCTGTATTATGGTGTCAGTAGTCAGTCAGTTATGTGTGTAACATGTACAGCCACATCAGTAAGCACAGAACCAAAACTTTTCATGTTAGGTATATGATATTGTAACTTTTAAATAGTTAATGTTGCAAATGAACTTCAACATGGCTGACTCAGCAGAATCTGACTAGCTGTGGCATATCTTGTATGGACTAACATAAATAGATAACCACAAGTTGCATAATCCCTGGCCTATTTAGCAAAATTTAACATGGCAAGGTCTTTACTAATTGATAGACAGGGGCAATTCCTGTCAAGTGAGAAACAGGCTGATCCCAACAACAGCTACACAAGCCTGGGACAACCCTGTCTTTGCCACATGTAGATGCCAGGCCATGTTTTATGGGGCTCGTGTAATTAATTGGTTGCTGTTGAACTGCATTGGTATTGAACCTGAGTAGGTGGCTATTGCGGGGACAGTACCTAGGAGAGGAGGATACCATGGAAGAATGTTACCCTGCCAACCAGGAAAATGGTATCTGGAGACATTGAGCGAGCCAGGCGGGCACTGGCATGGATGGCTCAGTGAAGTCCGGCACCACTGTGCCTACATTCCTCATTTTCACTGGAGGAGGAAACTGTCTATGGCCCGAAATGTGCTCATATTGGAGAGCACCCAGCCCATTATGAGGCTGATGGGATTGACCTTGCTATCATTCCACATTTTGAAGGGCACAGCCACTGCTGATTAATTGTTTTCCTTTATTCTTTGATGGGATGTGGGTGCCACCGGGATGTGGGTGACTTGTGTTGCCCTTCCCTAATTGCCCTTGAGCTGAGTGGCGTGCTTGAGCCATTGAGGGGCAGGTCACAACAGGTAAGGACAGCAGGTTCCCTTGCCTAAAGGACATGAGTGAACTAGACTTTCTTTTTTTTTTTTTACCAACAATTGATGGAGGTTGCGTGGGTGTCATTGGACCACACTTTTTTAATTCTTATGAATTCAACTCACAGTTTGCCATCTGTTATGGTGGGATTTGAACCTGTGTCTACAAAGCATTAGCCTGGGTCCCTGGGTGACTCATCCAGTCACAATTCCAAGACACCACTGCCTGCCCGCTAACAGAAGTGATGAAGAGCCCTTAATCGGCCTCAAGATGGAAAAGGAATCTTCCACTTACCTCACCACTGTCAAAATGGCATGGGAAAATGGCCAACCCATTCTCTGCTTTCGCTTACAATAATAAGGACCCTGTGCGATCAGAATTGGCCCTAAAATAGTAAAATCCCACCCATCAGTGAACCTTTCCCTGATCTAGTGAAATGCCCTTCAATATGAAACATTAAACTTTGTTTTTATACCTCCATGAGTGCTGCCTGGACCAGCTGAACTTTTCCAACTTTTTTCTGTCTTTATTTCAGATCTCCAGTTTTTGCCTTTGGGAAGTACTAGTCCTCGCTTTTATTGACACATGGTTAGAATATCTTCTATGACGGTCCTTTCTTAACATAGGCTTCAACAGAGGTCATTATTCTTCTTCATTTCCTTTTTCAGTCATTTTCGGAGTGCCCTTTCACTGGCAACAGTACAGCAGAAGAGGGTTCCAGGCGAGAGTCTTACATTGGAGAAGCTGAGCTAACCTCAGTATTCCGGAATATCCTGCAGGAGAAAGGACAGAAGTTGATGCCAGACTCTGTGCTTAGCACTGAAGTCCGATTGGAGATCAACAAAAGAAGGAAAAGCTTGGACAAATCTTCCAAATCTGGTACTATTCACTTTCTTTCATTTCACGCATTGAGTTAACTCCATTTGCATAAAAATATATCATAACGTTTGAATATCAAAATTGTTCTGAAGTGAAGCACTAAGCTAGTTATTTCACCTTGGATCTACATCTTGTCTCACTGACAGAATGAAAATCTCTTACATATTCGCTGTTCACGTGTAGAAGAAACGCTCCTCCCCAAGATATCTGAAGTCCTAGGTGACCAACCCTTCTGGATTTTACAGAACTGTCCTGTATCAAAGGCGCTCACCCCGTGTCCCTCATTGGTTACTGCTGGAGTACTGATTGTCCAGTGGTGTTGATTTTTGATTCTCGCTCTTAAGCAGACCTAAACATATACACTGTGCTTTCCTCCCAGTGAATGCTTCTCGCTCTTAAATACTAACCAGGAAACCTGTGCCCACCAACCGTGTTTGTATGCCATGAAGTCCCTTAATTTATTCCCCAAGAGTTGATCACCCCACCAATCCCTGTCTATCTGAAAATTCAGTACGTGCTTGAGTCTGGTATCAATGCTGTCTTCTTTGTGGGAAGCAGCATCCACGATTGAAGACGGGCACTGCTGGGATATAAGAGGTCCCAGCTAGTCAGCTTGGTTAGCAGCTCTTGAGGGTGGAAATCCCACACTGATCCTGTTAGGGTCACGCGTGGTATATTAGCAGTCAATCGATTCAGGGGATCAGGTGAGCCAGCAGCATTACATCCCACCTGCTTTGTAAAACTCACCCCAATGCCTCCTCCTTTGACTCAGTGTCTATTTTTATTTGATTGCGTTCTTACAGAATGCCTTGAAATGCTTTACAACATTAAAGGCGCTGTATAAAAAAAGAGTTGTTTTGTGATAAAATGCCCTGTTCCTTAGTCAGCCACAAAAGCAACCAAAGTTTTGCTGGATCATTTCAGGACCTTCAGCAATGGATGAAGGCTGCTGGCATATTTTGAACATTCTGCAATCACTATCCTTCTGTTTTAGAAGCCCCAGCAAAATTATTGAGCAGTCCACCAGTTCACAGTTTTCTATTCAAAAAGCTCGGACAAACAGGAAGGAAACTAACAACAAGAGTACATGAACACCAACTGGCTACAAAAAGACACGACCAATACTCACTCATCTCAATCCACATGGACAAGGAGAACCACAACACCAAGATCCTGGGACAGGCTAGGCAGAGACAAGCACGAGAATTCCTAGAAGCATGGCATTCCACGAAGCAGGCTATTAATAAACACATTGAACTCAACCCCATATACATTCCACTACGGCGGAAACCCGGAAGTGAGGCAATCCATCGCAACGGACCCCAGAGTTTAAAAACCAGGCGGGAAAACACACCGATGCTTCATCAGAGGCTGCACTGAGGATGTTACCAAGCACGTCTGCAGAACAACAAACCAGCTCGGCGAGCCAACCAACCTCAACACCCACAACCCAAGCTACAGATCTACTCCAAAACCTTGGAAAATGCAACCTAATTACATCAAGGACACACCATCCCCATGAAGACTGAGAAATTTGTGGAGAAGACTGACTGCTCCTTTATCACAGCAATGTTGATAAACACAATCCCCAACCTTAGGACTTATGCTGTGAACGTATTTTTAAAAATATGTTGGGAATTGGCACAAGTCCATTTATGTCATTGAACGTGAAGAAAATCAGAATTGGAAAACAAATGAACATAAATGCTCATATTTCACTTGGGAACCCTGCAGCCCAATGATATCAATGTGGACTTCAAAAGCTTCAAAATCTCCCCTCCCCCAACCACATCCCAAAACCAGCCCAGCTTGTCCCCACCTCCCTAACCTGTCCTTCCTCCCACCTATCCCCTCCTCCCACCTCAAGCCCCACCCCCATCTCCTACCTACTAGCCTCATCCCGCCCCCTTGACCTGTCCGTCCTTCCTGGACTGACCTATCGCCTCCCTAACTCCCCACCTACACTCACCTTTACTGGTTCCACCCCCGCCTCTTTGACCTGTCTCTTCCACCTATCCTCTCCTTTATCCATCTTCTATCCGCCTCCCCCTTTCTCCCTATTTATTTCAGAATCCCCTTCCCCTCCCCCATTTCTGAAGAAGGGTCTAGGCCCGAAGCGTCAGCCTTCCTGCTCCTCTGATGCTGCTTGGCCTGCTGTGTTCATCCAGCTCTACACCTTGTTATCTCAGATTCTCTAGCATGTGCAGTTCTTACTGTCTCTTCTCAACATAAATGCCCGGTTTGGGAGGGGTTTAAATGTTTGCTGAAAGTAGCCAAAAGGAGAACTGGGGCAAAACCTCTGGTGTCACCCTTAACCGAGTATTTCTGTGCACCTACGTGATGTGGTTTACTCTTATGTACCCTCCTTGACTTTCCATTAAGATTGCAACTCATTCCCACTTTGACCATTCTTTGGCAATGGGAAGGAGAACTTTGCTGTGATACATCCGCAACTGTGTACCATGTTAGGGCCCATTGACTTTAGGAAATCCAGAACATTTTATGACAATTAATATAGAAAGGTAACTTCAAATCCATTGCACTCTATTGAATGAAATGAATTGTATTAGACTGGTTGAGTACGATGGAAGCTAGAAAGAATTTCACTTCTTTCCTTCTGTTTTCTCCGCTCTTCTTACAACTCATGTCTGGGATGGCAACAGTCTGAAAACCCACCCAGGTATCAACTGTCCTCAGAGAAGCATTTTTTTTTTATTAACAAAAAGCTGTGGGATAGCTGTTGCTCCATAGCTCTGGTTTAGATCAGCTCAATCGTCCTCAACCGGTTAATGAAAATGGGGCTTCCATATTCTCAGTACATTCCCTTATTCAGTCCCTTTGGCACTCAAGAATGTGCCACACAAAACTCTTGCCCTTTTTGTTCAAAAATGATTTGGAAATTCACATCCAAAATTTTACATTTGGATTACATAGATTTTAAGAACCATTTGATGACATGTTTCTAATACGAGAGCTTCCATTCCTGGAACTAAATCAAACTCCTCTGAGATGGACTGGACCAATGCTGCTAACTCATGCACACATTTCACTATAAATGATGGTTCCTTTAAACACATGTTAATATCTCTCTTTGTTTCTCTTTGTCATTCACTTTCATGTTAATTGAATTCAGACGAGGTGGTGCATCACGAATACAGACTTCCCCGCACACGCTCAGTTCCTGGGATGTGGACCTCCCTTAGAGAAGCAGAGGCTCAGCATTCAGTTCCTTATCACAAGCATGGTGCCCAGTACTACGCTGACGTGGATAGCTCTGACAATGACGAAGCTCCTGAGCTTCCAGTGTATCAGCGCCACTTTGTACGACGCAGGAGTAGGAGTTCCTCACAGGAACATCTAGTATCTGGAGGAAGTCAGGTATGTCATCAAAAAATGCAAGCAATCTGGATTCTGCCAGTGTACCCAATATATATTGGTATTGCTGAAAAACAAATGTGTTGTCAAAGCTTCTAATTTTGCACTATAAGAATATAAATTCCAATGGCAACAACAGTTAACATTGTTTGAAAAGAGGGGACAGATTAATTGACAAGTGGCTGTAAATAAGGTCCAAACTATTTGCTCATTGTACAGATTTGAAGTTGAAATAAGGCACATCAAAGCAATTCTGCAAGAGGATGCCTACCCTGATTAGATCATTGCTCACTGAATGTCACTCAACCTCATAAGTGGACCTAATGCTACCAGTTTTGGTCCTGAAAGGTGCCAAGTCTACCTTAGATTACTTTGTAATTGTCCCAAATATTTGAGCAACATGTGAAGATAGTCCCGACACATTGCTACAATGCAGTAGCAACATGAACTCTTCACAAACAAGATGTTGCCATTAAACCAAAAAGACATAAATGAGTAATGTGGCATATGGATTCCATTGCCATATGATGCCACATGTAGCCTATTCATCCCAACAACATGTCCCTTTGGCTGTTTGCTGCTGATAGAGTACTGACTGTAACCAACTAGACCGTGCTTGCTGAACTCAAAGCAGCATTTGGTGTGATTCCATAATTGGACATTTACTGAACAATCTGAGGTGTGCTAAGAATTATGCCAACAATCAACTGTAATGTGACTCATAACATGTCCACGCTGAGTCTTTTCAACATAGCAAAATCCTGGAGATAACTATTCCCTGATGCAATCCCCTGGCAATGCTTCAACCAATCAGAATTGAATCGCCTGGTTTGAATTTAAACAAAAATTTGGAGGTTAATTGTTCCAAGACACATTGTCAATGGCAAAGCTTTGGCAATCACAATCCACTTGCCAACTAATCAGTGCCATCTTCTCATGTAACATGAACTGTTGGTCCCTTTAAGATCTGGCATTCTTTTAATTCTGTCCTGATGAGTACAATACAAAAGTTTCATCAGCACGTCTCTTTTTCAGCAGTGCTCATGTTTTGCACAACCTAGTGACAATTATGTATCAGACAGACTTCTCGTTAACTGGGCATTTGTATTGTAGCCTTTAAATTTAGCAGACAACATGATGAGAGTGTTCTGTAACTGGTGTAATCAATCAGGTGACTGCTACAGTCATTTCTGGCACAGTGTATTGTGAATAACACCCATCTGCGAATGTAGATGCATTGCCAAAGGAAAACATGAACCCGTGATAAGCACTGAATCTTAATGGACAGATTTTTTTCTCACTGTGTATAATGAGTTTTCAACCTTCCTCTAGAGGAACAAAAGGATTAGAAGTAGTCTACTCAGTCTCTCAAACCTGCTTTGCTATCCAATTTGATCATGAGTGCACCCCAATCTGTTTGCCCTTTTTGCTTCATTACACTTGTTTCTAACAATGACCTACCTGCTTCAATTTTGATGGCACAAATTGTTTCTGTGACCATAACAATATAGAACAATGAAACATTTTATTGCCCCGTTGTTGGCTTATAGGGGTTTCCAAAAGGAAAGAATGCCAAAAGCTTAAGTTCAGATGATTGTCTTGGAATTGCACATTGTGTTGATGTTTCAGTGTTGTTACTCGTGCTGCAGTTATACTTTGCGAAGAAAATAGAATTAGTTCTCAGCACCAGCAGTCTCGATGTAATGTGCGGTATTTTTTTGGGCCCTGCCGAGGTTGGGAACAGAGGCAGGTGGTCCTGAATATATCAGTGCTGGCTGGCGTGACTGTTTCTCAGCCTTCTTCATAGCTGGTCATTGTAAAAGATGCAGATTTGGATCTATCGGGGATGCCCATCCACATGAGGCTGGCATCCAATTTAGCACGTTATATCTTGTTTAGGAAACTAGGATTTTTCACTCAGCCTACCAGTTTCTCGATAGGATGGTACCACAGTTTAACTTTGAAGCCTATAGGCCCTTCTTGCCTACATGGGCTAGGGCTCAGCCAAAGCATGGCCGACAGAGGGATTTCCCCTACACTGGTGACCCGGCAGAATATTTTTGCCATTTTGTATTTTTGTTTAAATCCTCTTGCTAAGTCTTCTTATTGAAGAACCCTCTTATTTCAGTTTTAAGAACCAACCTCAACCCTAATTGGCAAAGGAACTTGTCTCTGTAGCCATTAAAGGGGTACAGTGCTTAAAATTCCAACCAATAACCTATGTTTGGGTGACACAGGAATACCCCCGGCCCCCGTTTTTTGCCACTAAAAGTGAAAGTTGAGCTCACTGTGTCAACGGGGTGGGCACTGTGGTGAACTTCAGCTGAACTTCTTTCTTCTAACAGAAAAGCCAAGACTAGAAGTGAAAGCTGCACTGATTTCACTGATGTAACAGACAAGATAGAGGTTTTACATTTTTAAATCGAAGATTCAGCAAATTTACCTGTCACAAAGTATCGCAGATCCCCATTTTTTTCAGCTCTCTGCTGCTTCAAATGAATTCTGTCAGTCTAGTTCATTTCTGCATCTCACTCTCATGCCTTATATGTTTTGATCCTCCTCTACATGCAGCCTATGCTTTGCTAGTAAGCTTTGAAAGGTGATCTCTACTACAAAAGTAAATATGAGGAATGGTGCACACTTAATCCATTAATTAGTCATAGACTCCTTGAATCCCTCCAGTATGAAAGCAGGCCATTCAGCCCATACTAGCCCTCCAAAGAGCATCTCACCTAGACCCACCCCCCTTTCCTATCCCTGTGATCCTCTTGGCTATTCAAGCTAACCTGCACATCCCCAGACACTGTGGGCAATTTAGCACCGCAAATCCAACTAACCTGCATGTCCTTGGACTGTGGGAGGAAACTCACTCAGACACAGAGAGAATGTGCAAACTCCACACAGTCACCCAAGGGTGGATTTGAACCAAGGTCCTTGGTGTTGTGAGGCAACAGTGCTAAGCATTGGGCCACTGTGCTACTCCTTTGGGACTGAGGTAAATGCAATCTATTATTTACAATTAGTTCAATAGCAAACATTTAGATTGGTATGCACCATTTTCTCTGACACTGAAGATCCTCTTTAAATCTGTTGAATTGCATAATTTTTTCATCCTGCTGCTGGTGGTGGTGAGCTGGTGATGGCTTGAAATATTCCTTACCCACAGATTTCAGATTTGTCCAGGCGCATGTCTTCTATTGAGCGAATGCTAAGCAGACTGGAAGAGAAGATGACTCCTTGTTCTGTAGAGGTAATCCATCACAGTTGAAAAATTCAGATTAATGGGTGCTTTCAGAGGAAACAAGTTAAAAATGAAGAAATATACTTGTGTCTTTATATTATCAATAAATATGAAATATCTTTAATTGAAGACAGCGAAGGAAAGTGATTTTGAAGTTGCTATTTGGGTTTGCTGCCTGGCAGCTGAGGTTTTGTATAAAACATCTAAGAGGCTGCAATTATATTGATTGTGAACTTGTCTGAATGATAACAATTAATTTATCCAGATGACAATTTATCAGAAGGGTAGGTAATCCAATCTGAAAGCACCTAAAGTAGGATTGCTGGAGAAATTTGAATGAAATTGTAACTTGTTTACCTGTATCCCAGTATATTTGGTCTCTCAAACCAATCCTGCATTGTTTCTTATTTATTCTTAATATCTTTGCTGTGTTGTTTCATTTGACCTACCAAAGATAAGACACCATGCAGCCTTCCCTTCTTGGCAACCCACATACAATGGAACAGCAGGCTAAACTTAGTTCTCTTTCAAGCCGTTAAATCTGTTCAGACATGTAGTTAGGCAGATGAATTTTAGTTTTTGACTCCCCTCAACATCTGCACTTTGAGATGGAAGGGGAAAAATAATTAATAAAAGAAAATTAGGTAGGTAGAATTATAATAGAGTCAGATTTAAAGTCTTAGAATGGCTGAGATTAGTAAAGTAAGAAGGAAAGATGTAAAAACCAAAACCTCAAATCTAAACCAACCCACCTTAAGCCTGTCCATTGACAGTTCTAACAGATGGAGGCAGAGGTTTCGCGACCAGTCTGTTACCAGGCGGCGTATTGCTCATTAAGTTATTTTAAGAGGATACAACCATTACTTTTTCCCCTTGTTTCCAACTTCATGATCAAAAAATCCAGCAGCTACAGGGAGTTGAGCACTCCTGCATTGAGCAGGTAAGTATGTTTCTAACACTGCTTGCAGACCAAGCAGATGTGCTTCCCTGACTCAGAGCAAACCAGTTTCTGCGAGAGCAACCCCATAGCAATACCCTGGAGCTCCAGCGCCTTTCCAAAGCCCTTCAGGATCTGCAAACATTTCCACTGCCCCACATTCTATATGCACCACTGCATTCATTTATCCACTTGCCTCTCATGCAATTACTATTGCCAGCTTCCACAGATTCCCAGCTATTCTGATAAGACAGCATGTTATCCAAACACAACGCATTGCAACACGCTTAATTACATTGTTCCCCCTTTCTTGCGGGACAGGATTGCATATGACAGCAGGTACAGCAATGATTAGGTTGAGGACAGACATTGTTCCATCACCACATTCCCTCGGAAGCAGCAGGTCTCGGGTGTTTTGATACAGCTCTCGCTGAGGTTGAGATTGTGGATTACTGTAGTGATCCAGGATTATATTGCCCTGTTATGCACCTCTGAAAGCTCATTTCTTCCCTATGTTACAACTGTTATGAAGCATAGACTGCAGATGGTTTGTCATCACCCCCTTGACTTCTACCCTGGATTCGTTGCCATCACCACAAGCTTCTCCTTGGCATTCAAGTTTTCAGTGCCCCCACATCCTGCCACCAGCCGGTGGTACATGAGGATGAAAGCCCGGAGTATGACACCATCATCTGACCTGACGTTCATGGCCACAAGCTCAGTAACGGCTCTGCGCATATTAGAAGGTAACATAGAAGCAGGAGCTGCAAGTTATGAATAGCACAAGTGGATTTCAGCTAGCTCAGTGAGGGGGAAACGCACATGCCAACTCCCCAGGGAAAGAGGTTGCACATTACATCTATTGCCAATGTGGATTCTGAAGAGTGTTGTATCAGAAAGGATGATGAGTATGTACATTCAAGGGCCACACAGACATTACAATGCTTCGAAATTAGTACCGAGCTAAGCAAGCTAAGAACCTCTCATCACATGATATCCGAGATGGATCACCCATCAAGTTGGGACCTCTTCCCTCTCGCAGGATTCTCTTCTCACTGAAGGCTCTGATGTGGAGATGCCGGTGTTGGACTGGAGCGGACAAAAACAGAAGACACACGTCACCAGCATGCACATGTCTCAAGACAAAAACTGGCGGCAAGATAGCAGCTGCCAGTCAGTGCCTCATGGTAGAAGTCACATGACTATGGCATTGATACAGAGTGCATTTCTATCTCAAACATCCCATTTTTCAACCAAAATAAAATTACATGCATCACAGGTCCCATTTGAACTCTCACTTATTGAAAACATTGAAAGGTTTGCACCCAGACTGCTTCTCCAGTGCTTAACTCTGACAATACAGTATTATCAAAATGAAATTTGGCTTTCTGATCATTCATCTTGATTCTGTAACCCAAGCCTGTTATTATAATTGTCTTCAGGACCTTTTTTAGCAGGTGGAGTAGTTTGGGTGTTGTGTGACATTAGTCTTTGTAAATGGGCTACTTTCAAATGCCATCAGTAGGCGTGTTTCTTCACTCAAGGATTGCCTTGTATGTGTACACGCTGGATTTACCTGGTTGCTTTATGATTCCTTTGGTGATTCTCATTGCCACTCAGCTTTTCCATTTATTTGAGGATGGTGTGGAGGTGATGTATGTTGTTGAATTTCCCAATCGTTAATGAAGCAGCTGAAGTCTTCACTCAAGAACTGAGAGCATTATCACTCATCACAATGTTAAAACTGCTGCAATGGCTAAGTGTGCGTTTAGGTATTCAGCAATCTCAACAAACAGTGTTGAAGTGTACTGCCAGTAATCAGAATTGGAGTCTTCAGTGTCAGAAGTCACACGACACCAGGTTATAGTCCAACAGCTTTATTTGAAATGATAAGTTTTTGGAGTGCTGCATCTTCACCTGATGAAGCTATGAAAGCTTGTGATTTCAAATAAACCTATTGGACTATAAGCCGGTGACGTGTGTCTTCTGATTTTGTCCGCTCCAGTCCAACACCGGCATCTCCACATCAGAGCCTTCAGTGAGAAGAGAATCCTGCGAGAGGGAAGAGGTCCCAACTTGATGGGTGATCCATCTCGGATATCATGTGATGAGAGGTTCTTAGCTTGCTTAGCTCGGTACTAATTTCGAAGCATTGTATTGTCTGTGTGGCCCTTGAATTTATTTGGTCGGTCGAGCATGCTTCTTGCCTTCTTCAGACTTGATTCAATTCCTTGGTAGCAAACATGGACACTTTTTAGCATCTGTCCTCTCAACTCCTTAGGGTTAACAATTCAATTTCCTTTGGAAAAAAGGTCTTGGACAGTTAATTAATTTCTGTATGCCCCGTACACTTGGAGAGCAACTGGTGTTTTCCTTAAAGCAGAGTTGGTAGTGGGGAGGAACCTAACAGAGGTGTACAAAATTGTGAAGAATATTGATAGGCTAGATAGGAAGAAATGCTCCCCCTTAGTATAGGGGATAGTAATCAGGGTGCAGAGATTTAAGGTAAGGGGCAGGAGGTTTAGTGGGGATTTGAGGACATTTTTTTCACCCAGAGGGTGGAGGTATCCAGAATTCACTGAGTGAGAGGGTGGTAGAAGTGGGAATCCATATAACATTTAAGAAATATTTAATGAACAAGTGAAAAGCCACAGCATACAAGACTACAGGCCAAGTGCTAGAAAATCGGTTTCATGAACTTTGGTGCTAAATGATTAGTATGGATACAATGGGTCAAAGGGCATCTTCGCAATCTGAAAAACTCTGAGTCTGGGCATGTCCTTGATGCTTTCAGGCCATCCTTTCATCAATACTTCTTGCAGCACTAGGAGAGTTGCATCTTGCAATGCCCTAGCAGGTTTTCTGGTGCCATCATCTCAAACTTGCCTCATTAACTAAATACCATGCCCCCATCTTGCTCCAGTCATCCTGTTCTTCCACTTACCGAGGTTGGAAATTCTCATCTTTGCCGTGATATCCTGACTCCTGCACTGTCTTTGAATTCCAGCATGCGCCCAGTCAAGCATGGACGACCTGGAATTGCTCTACATACACCGTGTGCATTTAGTAGGACAGGAATATCTCAGTATCTCAAAGCACATTGGTAGCACAGCTGATTCTTCCTCAACGTGCAGTGCATATGCCTACTCGTGGCTATTTAAGCACCAAGCCGCAGAGATGACCTTTTCTTAGCATCTTGCGTTCCTGTCTAACTCACTGCCACTCTTTTCCCCAATGCTCACTGTAGCCAGCAGCTTATCGTTGTCCAATGTGGGATCATCACATCCACGAAAACCTTCAAACACCTCAAACTAGTCATTTTTCTTCATCGCCAGCAAAAGCAAATGAAAAACAAACAAACAGAAGCTGCATTTGCCTCTCAGAATGGAAGTGGACTGCTTGCCTCTTGAACCATAAATGATCACTGCATCCAGTTGTCAAGTACTAGAACTGGCTATCAATTAAGCTCTGTCTGGCTGATTACCCTCAATGCTACATCATTCTATCATACAGGAAGTGATGTTGCTCCTGCTCAAAGTCCTTATTTAGAAGGATGAAGGAGAATCTGATTGAAACTTACAGCGTACTGAGAAGCCTGCATTGAGTGGATATGGAGAAGATGTTTCCACTAGTAAAAGAGACTATGACCTGAGGGCACAGCCTCAGAGTGAAGGGTCAACCCTCTAGAACTGAGATGCGGAGGAATTTCTTCAGCCAGAGGATGGTTAATCTGTGGAACTCATTGCCACAAAGGGCTGTGGAGACCCAAGTCATTGGAGTGTATTTAAGTCGAGATCCTTTTATTAATTTTTATGAATTGGGTATAACAGTGCAGAACGCTCAGTACTGAGGTGTAGTACACTGTAAAAAGTACTACCCTTCACAATTGAGTGTTATCCCAAGTCATCAGTCCATCTCCAAGTTTGGTCTAGAATGTCCCAAAGCACTATTGGAAGAAGAGCAAATTAATTCTCCCAGTGCTTGCAACCAACATCATCAAAACAGGTTATCTAGTTATTTATCTAATTGCTGTTTGAGACCTTGGTCTATACAGATACCTACTGTGTTTGTC